AGCGGCAGAGATCAGCTTTTTCAGGCATTTCCAGCGCGGCGCTGCCTTGTTATGAGTTGTGCCCAATCATTTTTATCTCATCCGTTCCCATAACCCTTTTCTTTTTTTCTCCCCCGTTTTTTTTAATACTTAAATATTCCCTTTTTATTACTATCTCCATCCGTTCATTTTCGCAGTCTGTTTTAATTTAAGGAACATTAAGTAATTACTATTCACAATTCACACTATGAGTTAATCGCTTAATTTGCCTCTTTGACCAATGAATAGCTTGCTTAGAATAATTTTTAATTGGAAAACAAGTCAGTTTATGATCAATTTTGGTCAATTAAATTTTAAAAAAATGTTATTTAAAAAAGATGGCATAAATGTTTGAATTAACATTTATAAAAATAACTATCATCTCAACTACATTTTGTAGATCAAAATTAAGGTAAGAGTTAATTGATATGATATGATTTATGTTGGATAAACCTTCATAAAAAAACCAGTTTGAATATTCATTTGGCTTTTGTAATCCCAAAAGCTTCAAAATGATCTAGCTTGACTTTAGGAAATTCAATTAACTACAATATCAATCCAAACAGTTTTTTGAACTCAAAGTGATTTTAAGCTTTTATATTATTCGCTTCAGACAACTTAGGGAGAATCATAATTAGATTTTAAAAAATAATTATTAATAAATTTTAATAACAAGTGAGTTGTTGTCTACGCTGTTATTATGAGGGCTTTTTAGTCACTATATTTCTTACTTAGAATTTCATAACAATCCTTCTCAAGAGCAGCAAACACAATTATAAAAAAGTTTACCCTTCACTCTTAATAATTCGAGATAGATTATCAGCGCAATTAGAAGAAAAAGGGAGAAGGCTTATGATATAATTTTTAGGGTTTGAAACTTGACCCCATTTTAGTTTTTACCCTGTAAAATTTAAAATTAATATTTCTGCCCATGAAATTTGAAATCATATTTAACTTATGAGGACTAAATTTTACAAACACAATAAATTTTAAGGATAAAAAAGACTGTAGGTTTCAAATTTCATAAACTAAAACTAAAATAAGATCAAGTTTCAAAAACTAAATACTCTTCCGATCCTTAATATAAGACTCATTTAACTAATTTGATTAGATTAAGGAAGTTAGGTAAGTTAGTTAATTATAAGAAAAATGACACATTTTTTTAAAACACTATAATCATCTTTCTTAATACCCTCTCTCCCTTTTCTCCTTGACTATGATTGAGGGAGAATCCATGGGGGTAATTTAAAAAAATTGATAAATATGAGAAATTGGTCTTATATTTAGGACCAAAACCAATTCAAGAATTGGGTCCTATATTAAGGACCGGAGGAGTATTATATTAATTCAAGGGAGAATTATCACAATATCTCAAGAGAGAAATATACTCCCTCCGTTCCTTATTATAAGAGACATTTAATGCTTATGGCATATTCCTATATATAAAAGACACTTAAAAGTTATCTCTACTTTTTTGTGTTGATTTCCTATTTTACCTATATTTATTGTCTCCAACTCACACACTCTCTCCCTCCCACTTCTCTTTCTTTTAATAATTTAATTGTTCTCCCTCATGCTTTCTCTCCTTATTAATGAAGGCATTTTTGGAAAAAAATTATATTTTTTACACATTGATTGTTTTTAACTAATTTTAACTGTTTTTTTTATCAACGTAATTCGGTTATTCGTCTGTTATAATAAGAAACGGAGGGAGTAATTATTAAAAACTGCCAAAACAACTGAGTAACAATAAGTTTATACTACTTATTTTTTTATTAAAGTTTTATCTGCTTTTGATTGTTGCATTTTTCCACCATGACCTCGTGATATAATTCTTCCAAGATATAACATCGCAGTAAAGAAAAGGGAGGCCGGGTTTCAATGAGTAACGTCTTTTTGACTGGGAATGATTGAGAGGGCAGAGCCAATTTCAAAGGTGAGCCCACATGGACACAGCACTTTGTTGAATTTGGTGTCATTTCGCCTTTTCGGTTGCCTGATTGTCCCCACCTGGCTACCACTGTATACGTGTGTGTGTGTGTTTATACGTGCGTGCTACTTCTGTTACTTACTGTGTTACTTATTAATCATATATATAAATATATATATATTACAACTTCTTTTTTCATTAAACTTCGTTAACATATACTACAGTCACTTTAGAAATTATTTGGAAACAAAATAAATAAATACTCTAAAAAATAAGGTAAATATACTACTAGTTCTCATATTAAAGACGAGGTAGCATATAAATATATATATTTTGGTGAAAAAAATTTAGGTGAGTTGATTCTTAGAAACTCACTAAGGTCAGGATATACTTTTAAATTTAGAGAGTACTTACAAAATTACTTACAAAATATCCATCAATAAAGATCTCATATCAATATTAAGGTTCAAAATTACAGTAGCATGTATGTGTATATATATTCATTTGTTCTTATAATAATTTTGTGATTCTCTGTATGAAATCATATCCCAAAGGAAAGAAAAAGAAAGAGGGGGTGAAAAAAAGAAAGAATAATCATATACAGGCTGTGTACAGCCTAATGTATCAGAATTTATTTATCAATTATCATCCGTAAATTGACCTTCACTTCCAAGGGTCTGCCAAAACGGATCCATCAAACTATGCTCAATTTGTAAACACCATTTTGAAATTGACATTAAATTTATAAATGGCTTCAATTATTGCAAAGGAGCTAGAGTTTCTACTTGCCTGCCTGTCAATTTGCAGGAGCAATTTATATAAATAAAATAGCAGTTCTTTGTTTCCCATATAAAATTAAAAATTTTAAAGTCTAAGGCACAAGTTTTTTTCTTAAAACAATGACAATATCAAAATAAAATTGATTTTTAATAAATAATGTTTTTTTAATTTAACACTCTAGAAACTTGGCTGTACGCACTTTATGCTCAAAATAAGGTAGTTGGTATGGACGCATGTGTCTGAATATTATATAATATAAAATATACAATTAAGCTTATATATAACTTTAAAATAAAAAATAAAAAAATAAAAATTTCTGCATTAAACCATGTCATTGTATACTCCTCAATTATTACCAAATTTTTGAGTGATTAAATTCTTTTTTTCAGATCTTATAATAATTCTCCCTATTTTTATTCTGGAAGCATCTTTACATTTTATTTTGATATTTTAAAAAAAATTAAAGAGATGGGTCATAGGTGCACACAAACAAATTACTCCTCCGAATAAAATCTAATTTACACAGTATTACTTATGCAAAATTACATAAAAGCCATTGGTTTTTACTTTGATAGATATTCTGGATCCGGAGATCTCGATTATGTAGGCATTGTGAAAGGGATGTGACCGTGACCGTGACCGTGACCGTTAATTAATTATTGTCTTAAAAAATCCCCTAATGTCACATCACAGTAACGGGAATTTCTTTCCTCATCAGAAACCTAACACAACAACAGCAATAATATATACTAAAAATAAATAAAAAGACAAAGCTACATTTTTTTTTGTGAAAATTACACTCAGGTCCCACAGAACACAATTAATATTAAAAAAATCCTTGGAAATCGCGAAATGATTCTGAAGTCCCCAGGGACCTGTGTGTAATTATTCTAATTGTGAAATTACCTACTTACCCCTGTTAATTTTATTGCAGCAATTCGTTTACAATCTCAACATTGGCTGTTAACAATCCGAGAAGACGTGATTGACAACCTCGACAGTGCTCATGACAACTCACTCTGTGGAATGCCAGGGGCATTGTTGAGGTTGTTAACCACCTCTTCTCGGGTTGTTAACAGCCACTGTTGAGGTTATAAATAGGTTTTAATTTTATTGCAGCAATTCATTTACAATCTCAACAGTGGCTGTTAACAACCCGAGAAGACGTGATTGACAACCTCGGCAGTGCTCATAACAATTCACTCTGTGGAATGCCAGGGGCGTTGTTGAGGTTGTTAACCATCTCTTCTCGGGTTGTTAACAGCCACTATTGAGGTTGTAAATAGGTTCAAATTAATAGGGGTAAGTAGGTAATTTCACAATTAGAATTAATTACACACAGGTCCCTAGAGACTTCAGAGTCATTTCGCGATTTCGAGGGACTTTTTTGATATTAATTGTGTTCTGTAGGACTTGAGTGTAATTTTTCCTTTTTTTTGGGCCAAAAGACAAACATGGATTAGGGCAACGGGCTTATAGAGTTCTAATGCCCCATTCTCTACCTTGAAGTGTTCTAATCTTTAGAGTATTTTTTTTTTACTATTAAGTTCTAAATAAAATGATTGATATTTAGTATTTTATGGATAAAAAATGTGTAGTTTTAAATTTTTTTATGATTTTTAAAAAAACACAATTTTAAGGTTTTTTTTGTAAAAAATCATTAAAAAAATTAAAACTGTGCATTTTTGCTCATAAGATATCAAAATATTACTTATTTGATATAGAATCTAATGATTAAAAAAGATTAAAAAAAAACAATTGGGCGGTTGAGGCATTTCAAGGGGCATTGGAGGCCCCTTGCCAGTATGGATTAATACGTCAACAAATACTAACTCTGTTTATTAATGTAAGAGCTAGTTATAAATTTAATTTGATAATAAATATAAAATCTCAATCTGCTTTATCTTCTATTTTTTTTTCCAAATATCCCTGTTGATTATAAGATATTCTCATCATGGGATAATTTCAATTCACATGATTAAAAAGAATAATTTAGGAAAACTAATACATATTTGTGACAAATAGCTAATTTAATTAATTTTGTTAATATCTATAAATTAGTTATTTAGCTTTTATATTAAGTACTGGGATGGTAATAAACTAATAATTAATTATACTAACTAGGGTATCCCCTCTGATGCAAACAAGGAAACATGTTAATCAATTTGGAGCATCACAATTGTTGGTTTGTGCTTTCACAGAATATTAGGGAGGCAAAACAATGTCTATAAATAGAGAAAAAAGTTTTGAGAGAGAGAGAGAGAGAACAAAAATGGGGTTGAGAGGAGTGATTGGTCTGATAATATTACAAGTCATACTGTTTTTTGGGATTCAGATATGTGCGTCGTCACATATTACCAGAACAAGCTTTCCCAAAGGTTTTGTTTTCGGCACTGCCTCTTCTGCCTTCCAGGTGAGGAAAAAAATAGCTTTTTTTAATGATATATTTTATCAAAAAAGTTACAAATATTAAGGTCTAATTAAGTGAAGTGAGTCCAATGAATTAGTAAATCACTTCTCTATTCTCAATTTTGTTAAGAGTTTTAATGGATTGATTGGGCTATATTTCATATTTTCTCTCTCAATATCGTTTTGAATTAAAAAGAAAGAATTACAATGAGATTTTAAAAAAAAATTGCAGTAAGTCCTACTAACAAATGAATATTTTCTACTTAAAACTTATTATTATAGGCTGTTGTCAATAGAACTTTTTAGTAATTATATTTTTTTTTTGAACTTCAAAGTAACAAATCCATGCAATTTGTGTTTTAATAATTTCATTTTTTGGTAAAGATTTTAATACTTGTTAGATTATATGTGCGGATGAACGTTTCATTTAGTCGTGGATTAATACTTTTTAAATTAAATATTTTTATCTTTGGATTATATACGGGTTTTTTTAATTTTTAATTAAATCATATTATTCAATCATAACAGGCCGATGGCTAATTCTAGTTCAATGACGATTAAACTACGGCTACCTCCGGTCTTAATTATAAGTCTTATAATTAAGACCGGAGGTAGTCGTAGTTTAATTGTCATTGGTCTTATAATTAGGACTAGCAATTAACTCTTAAATAATTGTTCTGATTGATATAATAACACATCACATTCATTTGAGTGGAATAATATTTCAGCCTTACCCAATAATTGCCAAGTACTCCCTCCGTTCCTTATTATAAGAGACACTTGATGCTTATGGCATGTTCCTATATATAAGAGACACTTAAAAGTTGTCTCTAGTTTTTTGTATTGATTTCCTATTTTACCCCTATTTATTTTGTCTCATACCCATACTCTCTCCCCTTCCCACTTCTCTTTCTTTTAATAATTTAATTGTTCTCTCTCCTTATTAATAGGGGTATTGTTGGAAAAAACATTATACTTTTTACATATTAATTGTCCTCAACTAATTTTAACTGTTTTTTTGATCAACGTAATTTAGTTATTTGTCTCTTATAATAAGGAACGGAGGGAGTATCAATCAAACAAGGAAAAAAAAAAGTAATGCAAATATTAGCATTGAATTGAATATATTGAATGATTGTAGCATGAAGGAGCAGTGAAAGAAGACAGAAGGGGACCATCTGTGTGGGATACTTTCTCACGTGTGCCTGGTAACACTTACTATTTAATAATGTGTTTTTCTGATGAACCCAATTATATATCTCTTTGTCGCACTGTCTGAATTCTTTTTTTCAATTATATTATATTATCCAGTTTGCGTCATCATTTGCCCTTAAAATTTTTTTATTTTATGCATCTTTTAAAAATTCAAAGTACTAATTTCAATTGATATTTTTCATGTTATACCCTTATTTACTCTAACAACTTCAAAACAGCATTTACTGAATTTATGAATAATTTTGGTGTGCCAACACTTTCAAATACCTATATTTTAAATAACAAATGGTTTTAAGCTAAAACTCTGAAAATATGAGCTAATTGAGAGATATCAATTGGTCACTTATTTTAGAAATATCTTCTTCACTTTGGGCGCATTAATTCCATTGTAGGAAAGATAATGGATGGCAGCAATGCTGACGTGGCAGTGGATCAATATCACCGATATGAAGTAAAGTTAACTTGATGCAAAATTAAAATTTCCACAAATCACTTTCTCCACTCTCAATCTATTAAAATTAATTTTATATCGAGAAAAGAAAAAACCTCTTCTAATAAAATGTGATAGTTCAACAATGAATGACGAACCATTTTGCATGCAGGAAGACATACAACTCATGAAGGACATGGGAATGGATGCCTACAGGTTTTCCATTTCTTGGTCAAGGATTTTGCCCAGTAAGAAATCTTTTTCCTTTCCCCAAATACCAGAAAATTGAGGTTGAAGTGATCATAATTTAGGCCTATATGAAGTCACAGATTGAATGCAAACCATGATTCCCCCAAATTGGACTAAAGATCAACCATATCTAGACTTGATAGAAGCAATATAATTGATGAAATGTTCTGATCATGCAGTTTCATGTGGCAGATGGATCTGGGGAAATCAGTCAGGCTGGAATTGATCATTACAATAAACTCATCAATGCTTTACTGGCCCAAGGTAGCTCTTATTAATTATCACTATGTGATTGATCAGAATTTTGTTCCCTAATGAACAGTCTCCACCATCTTCATTGCTTCTGATTTTGCAGGACTTGAACCATATGTCACCCTCTACCACTGGGACTTGCCCCAAGCCTTAGAAGACAAATATAAAGGATGGCTTAGCCCTGAAATCATGTAACAAATAGTTTTTCAAAGTATTACATGTGATTCTGGTGATAATACAATGAACTAGAATGTGTCTCATGGTTACTTGTGTTCTGCAGAAAGGACTTTGCAAGTTATGCTGAGATATGCTTTCAGAAATTTGGAGACAGGGTGAAACATTGGATCACTTTTAATGAGCCTCATACTTTGGCCCTAATGGGGTATGACTTAGGTTTCAATGCGCCAGGGCGATGCTCCATTGATTTTCACCTGCTTTGCAAGGAGGGGAACTCTGCTACTGAGCCTTATATTGTTGCTCACAATATCCTTCTTTCTCATGCAGTAGTGGCTGATATCTACAGGAGAAAATACAAGGCATGTTTAACTTCATGGATTATTTTCAGAACCAAATGAGGGGGCCTTATGAGTTTGCACTTTTGGGAATGATGAGATTTAGAGAAAGTAACTGTGTTAGTGCCTTCAGATATGAGACAGTATCATTTTATGCAATATAAAATTGTTAAAATGACAATATACTGAGTAATTTGGCTCTTCCACAGCATAAACAAGGTGGATCAATAGGGATGTCTTTGGATGTGATTTGGCTTGAGCCAGCAACAAATTCTAAAGAGGACATTGCAGCAACTCAGAGAGGCCTAGATTTTCAGTTTGGCTGGTAATGAACTGTAGTACTTAGTAATCTTAAAAAGTTACCCCATCATTGTTATGTTATCAGAACAAAAATGATCTGACAAGTTGTTCAATTTCTGCTTTAGGTTTATGGATCCTTTGTCCTTTGGAGATTATCCTAGATCAATGAGAAGTATAGTAGGAAGCAGGCTGCCACAATTTACAAAATATCAGGCCACTCTTCTTAAGGGTTCATTAGATTTTGTGGGCATCAATCATTATACTACCTATTATGCAATGTACAATCCCAATATTACCAATGTACTTCAAGATTACATTTCAGACTCTGATGCTCTCACTCTTCGTAAGTTAACACCAAACCTTCGTTGGAATTTTTTACAATTTAGAGCTTCTAATTGAAGGGTTTTGTTTATACATTGCTTTCAGCTTTCAATCTCAGTGGTAACACAGTTATTGGAGACAGGGTAAGTCCTTGAAAAGTGAACCATCTTTTACCCCTATATATATATATATATTGATGCTATAGTTCTGAAGAATTGACAAGCCTTCTGCTTCTGTCAAAGATAGATAAAGCAAGCATAAAGAATAGAAGAGTGTGCTTTACTTAACTCTCAGTTTGTCTTTATTATCAGTCATGGTTTTGATATTCAAATTTTGACTCGCAGGCAAATTCTGTATGGCTGTACATAGTGCCGCAAGGGATGAGAAGTGTAATGAATTACATCAAAGAAAAGTATGGAAATCCTCTGGTCGTCATCACTGAAAATGGTAATCTTGCAACTGACAAAATTTTCTAAATCGCTAAATTATGTCAAACTCTAGTAACATTCAGTCCAACTGTGTGAAATTTTCAGAGTACAGCTCATAATTCAATTATGCATACCTTGGCGTGGTTTCAGAATTATACTGTAGGATTCTTCTTTTCCCCCCCCCCTGAATTAAAGGAGTAGGCACTAACAGCCTGAAGTTGCGAGTGGGATTGAATTTGCAACCTCCCACATACAGGAGAGCTCTTATGCCACTTACAGCGTAAGGCCATGGGCATTATACCGTAGTATTCTGCAGTACAACATGTCTAAGTGAAAATGACCTTGAGAATAGGTTACTTTGACATAGCCATTGAAGCATTAGAAGCAACTCTAGAATCCCTTTCAGCTATAAAATGATGCTTTGCACTGTTATATCATTTTCATGTTTCATGGTTGGTTAAAAAGGCATATCATTCTTCTACTGTTGTCCACATAGCCAATCACTTTCAGATTCAATCCACATGGAATAACACTTCACTCTAAACATCCCTCTTTCACTGTCATGGTTTTTTATAGGGATGGATGATCCAAATGATCAACATATACCTATAAAGGAAGCTCTGAAGGATGAGAAAAGGATCAAATATCACAATGATTACTTATCTAACTTACTATCTTCCATCAAGTAAGTAATCATCTGTAACTTAACTGCATAATTATCAAGTTGAGCCCTATTATAATCTGTTACAAAGCTAATGAACTTTTCTGATGTGGCTGACGATGCAGTGAAGATGGGTGCAACGTAAAAGGGTATTTTGTTTGGTCACTTTTGGATAACTGGGAGTGGTCAGCTGGATACACTTCTAGATTTGGACTATACTTTGTTGACTACAATGACAACTTGAAGAGATACCCCAAAAACTCGGTCCTATGGTTCAAGAACTTCCTGAAATCAACTCAGTAATAAAATAACAGCATATTGGATAAGAATGTAGTAATATTTTAACAATAAATGAATCTGTCAGTGCTTTCTTCTCTCCTTCGTTGCTGAGAGTAACGTTTTGGATAAGCAAAAGTCTCATTACTGGGTTGATTCATACGTACATATATATATATATATATATATATGATTGTTTCTATTGATGATTTGACCATGAGATTAATTTAATGGGAGATTTCCATCTACACTTGTCATGATTCTAATCAGAGGTCTTTCGTTGACAAAGGAGCAGCCACCTGGCCAGCTTGCTGACCAGGGGAAGGCATAAACAAATAAGTACAGAAGTGCTACATTAATTTTGACGTCTTTGATTCTTCATGTCTGAGACATTATCAAGTACTAAATATAAGCACCAACCCTAATAGGGATTCAAATCTTAGTTCACTATTGAAAAAAGTATTCACATTTAGTATTAGACAATATCTTGAAAAAGCCCCCAATAAGAGGTGATATTAGTGTTTTGGTTTTCCAGCATTTAAGGTGGCCACACTCAGTAATTGGTGTAGGCTAAAGAGAATCAAGGAATGTACACAACTTGGCAACAATTTAGCCAAATATCCTCCAAAATGGTGCTAAGGCATAATAAGAATATAGGGACCACTAATCACTAACAACACTAGAAAGCTCCTTTTAAATTCTGAAATTCCATCATTCATTCTTTGACATTGGTTAATAGATATATGGCAACATATGATTTTTTTTTTTTTTTACCAGCAATGGCAATATGTGATTGGTTCATAGATATATATAACATGTAAATCTGTTATGGGGTTTCCACGATTTTCCCAAGACCATTAATTAATACTCCTCCGGTCCTTAATATAAGACCCATTTAACTAATTTGATTAGATTAAGGAAGTTAGGTAAGTTAGTTAATCATAAGAAAAGTGACACATTTTTCCTAAAACACCATAATCATCTGTCTTAATACTCCATCTCCCTCTTCTATTTGATTATGGTTGAGGGAGTATCCATGGGGTAATTTAGAGAAAATTAATAAATATGAGAAATGGGTCTTATATTTAGGACCAAAACTAACTCAACAATTGGGTCTTATATTAAGGACCGGAGGAGTATATAATCTAGAGATTAATTATTACTTTCGTACGTAATTAAATGACATGGGATTATCATTCTTATCTTAAACTTCCGTATTCACAACAGTAATGCAAAATTCACATATTAAAAAGTATATGATTCCTTAGATCTCTCTGCATCCAAATATTTTCAATTGAGGTCTGTCCAGTTCCGTGTTGCCAAGTTCACAAGTTTGAATTTGCTGGGATATACGTAACGATCGAGTACTTCAAAAGGACTCTGTTGGATCACTCGACAAAGGAACCCAGCAATATTTGTCCGTTACCACAATAAAAAACAAAATAATTTGTTGAAAATTGTATATTCTATGAGGATGGACTGTACGTAGGTAAAAGCCAGCCAAATAAGAACAAAATCCACATAGTTATATAAATACATATAGACCGGGTGGGGAGAGGAAAATTCTTAGAAGATACCAAAATTCACACACACACACATATAGAAGATAATGAAGCAGGATAGATAGAAGCAAAAGCAACAAAGCTTTATTTATTTATTACTCTTTCATGTTTCTAATATAAGAGCTAAAAATAGTCGTTGAGTTAGTTTTCAATCCTTAATTAATATATATATATATATATATATATATATATAAACCAGGTAGCTAATTTATAGAAATTATGAAAAATAATTAAGTTAGTTATGTGTGAGAAATATATGTGTATTTTTTTAAAATACATTCTTTAATAGATCTATCATTTAATGAAAACCTCTTAGATAGCTTAAAGAAAAAGTTATAAATTGAGAGATGGTTTTGTATTTAAAACCAAAACGAAAATTCTTAACTATTATATTTCGTATTAGAGGGGTACATCGGTCTTTGAAATATTGTATTGATATGTTAATTAACGTAGTTTTCATAGTTTAAAAACGAAAAAAAAACCATCATGCGAGTCATTTGTGTGAACTAAACTTAAATTTGATTGCAAATTAAATGACATGTAAAAACGAGGGACTAAACTAAATGACTACTCTTCTGGTCTTATTTATAAGACAATTTCAACATATTTCACACAGATTAAGAAAAACTTTAAAATGCATTAACTCTTTATTAAAATATAACAATTTTTTTAACTTTATTCATATTTAATATATACATCTTTCAAAAGAGATAACTATATACAATATAATAAATAAAAGACAAAATAGTATATTAATATTAAAAATTTAATAAAATGACTTGTAAAAATAATAATAAAATTTTATTTCTCTATCCTATGTCTATAAATAGGACAAGAGGAATAATCATTAAGAACGACTTTTTGTGTTCCACTTCCGCACCTGTACTACAGGAAAATTAAAAAGCAGCCCCGCTTGGTTGCGGTCAAATGTGAACAAGCCCATATTTTCACTATTTCAGCCACCATCCCAACACCACCACACTGCCTCACGGTTCCGGAATATGTACATCTCTCTCTCTCTCTCTCTCTCTCTATATATATATATATATATTTACATATTCTCTGTCGTATTATCATCCGATCCTTTCATTTCCCATTTCACACTGCTTCTCTCTCTCTCTCTCTCTCCCCCTCACCCCTCTCTTGCCCTTATAAATCTTCTTTGTGTACACACACACACACACAGCTTTTGAGAATCCCACATTCTTCAAAGAAACACATCTCAGAACTACTTATCTCTCTTTCTCTCTCTGTGAGGAGGAGGAGGAGGAAGAAGAAGGCATGGCTGCGATGAGAAAGGACACTATGATAGGGTTAATAATAGCGATAATGGTGGCGGCGGCATGTGAGATGGAGATATGCATGTCAGATTCTTCAAACAACACAATAATAATCAACAGAGGAAGCTTTCCGAAGGGTTTTGTTTTTGGCACTGCCTCTTCTGCTTTCCAGGTTCGTCCTCCCTTTATTATTCTTCTTCCTCTTTATCACTCTTCAACCCCAAAACTACTCCGCTGCATGCGAATCTTGCATTCACAAAAATATTTCAGTACATATTCTTTGTCTCCAATATAAGCAAACGTATAATTGGGGTGGGGTTGGTTTCAGGTTTGGGGTTTGTGATAATAAATTAATAATGATGATGATGATGATGGAGAAGAAACGAGAGAGCCAGTGAAACATATCGATCCGTGAATGTGAGAGAGAGAGAGGGGGAGCAAAACGACACTAACGAGTTGAAGCGCAGCCTAATTAATGCAGCGTTTTTCTTCTGATTCTCAGTTAATGTTGCTCAGATGTGATTGATGGCTAGATATGTCAGAAGAATCAACGGTCGTTTACTTTTTTTTTTTTTTTTTTGAAGCCAGGGAGGTCATGACCTTTCTGAAATATTCTAATTTTTGAAGGGTATTTCCGTCAGAGAGGATGTATTCCGTTACGTCGTGGCGGATGCCGGTACACGGCATTCGCTCCGCTAGATCCGACACAGGCGGGCAGCGTGCATTATCTCTTGACAAAATGACGTTGGATTCTTTTAATTTTTTTAAATTAAAGTTATATATATATATATATATATGAAGATTTTTTTCGTTCATTGAAAACGTCAAAAATACCTTAAATATTTTTAAAATTATGAGAATGTTTTATATATTTGATGACTCTTCAAATAAAGTACAAGCAGTGCATATTTTTTGTATCTGTATTAAATTTAAACAGACCAATTCTTTATATTGAATTTACATATTTAAAAAATAGTGTAATTTTGAAAACATAGAGAATGTTTTCATAACTCTGTACCTATCAAAACATATAAGAGAAAAAGAGAGAAATTTCCTTATAATAATTAATCCGGTTTGCTAAAAAAAAATTTATTGTTCTCTTTGTGTGTGTGTTTGCTAAAAAAAAATTATTGTTCTCTGTGTGTGTGTGTGTGTGTGTGTGTGTGTGTGTGTGTGTGTGTGTGTGTGTGTGTGAGCACATTCGGTGATGCGCTGGATCTGCTCCGTCCAAATGTTTTGGATCTAAGAAGCTTCCCAGAAGTTGACAAACAGAAAGGGAAAGAAAAAATAAAAGGAAAGGGAAAGAAGCTTCTCGGATGAACACGAATATTCCTTCAAAAGTATAATATTTTATTATACCTTCTAATTCTAATCATATGGTAAAATTAACTACTTCATGATTCTTATTGAAAAAAATGTAACTTTTTTTAATTTTGCCTTCATTAAAACTAATGTTTGCAAATGAAGTGCCTCATTTGAATTGAAAGCATACTAACCAAGTTATTTTGCCTTATAAATGTTTGATTATTTTCTTGAACTAAATATTTATAGAAATTAGAGTGGGTGTTGTGTGAGGGCTATTAGCATCATTTTCTATAGCCTTTTAGACATATAGTGATGATAGGAAGCTTACTTATTTTACGCTTTGTACTTCTGATTAAGATTTATTTATATATGATAGCAACATTATGGTTTTGTCAATGAAGGAATGATAATATTAGTTGGCTTGGTTGTAGTATGAAGGAGCTGTGAAAGAAGATGGCAGGGGCCCATCAGTTTGGGATACCTTTTCACATACTTTTGGTAAGAAATTATTTTTTTGTTGCATTTTTTGGTTTAATTCGGTGGTTATTAAATTATTTCACTTGCACATGTTTATTATTTTTTAACAATTAATAAATATATATTCATAAGATATGGAAACCTCAATTGTACCAGAGATATCAACAAGACTAATTAATTGGCATAAACTATTCATATCAATTATTAATTTGTCAAACAGGTTTTGTGCTTATTAATTTTATCAACCTTGATTATGTTAGATTGTTATTCTTTTCTTTTTTTTAAAATTTTTATACAATTTAAACCACGCATGCAATGGCAGCAATGACCTCGAACTTGGTTCTTATCCAAACATGACGGTTAGTGTTGCCACTAAAACAACTAGTTGTTTGACGTGTTAAATTGTTATCTAGTAGAAGAAGTGAAATTGAAATTTCTTATGGATGATCAGATTGGTTGACAGGGCTATTTTTATCATCATTAGAAAAGAAATACACACATAATAATAAGCCCCACTTCTATGGTTTTGGTGAGGTAATTAATTAGAAGTATCTTATATTTAAGAAGGCATGAAGTATTGTAAATGTATCTTTCTCACACTTCAAGCAGCTTGTGGTTGGTTTTCTATTGCTTCCTATTGATGGGATTGGGACCTGTAGTGTAGAAACATTCTTTTGTTTTGCAAAAGTAGCTGGAGAATAAATTCTTAAGATACTGAAATTCTTAAACATACTCCTTGCTTTGCATTGTGTTGCAGGCAAGGTCGCAGATTTCAGCAATGCTGATGTTGCTACAGATCAATATCACCGCTATGAAGTAAGTAATTAACTGCTGGCTGGATTTGGTCACTGATTGATTGGTTGCTCCCCCTCTTTTTCTAATTCTACAATTGCTCTGTTCAGAATAACTATAACAACACAGTTTAAAAGGGTGTTCATAAGGTGTTTGTCAAAATGCACTTTCAACGCTAGAGCCAGTTTTTTTTTTTTTTAATATTTAAATATTATTATTTAAAAGGATTATTCTTCTGTCAATGAGTTTTAATTTTGCGTAATATCATCTTCATCTTTAAGATTGATGTCATGTGAAGCTCTAAGTTTGGTAAACTTGAGATTCTCACGAAAGCAATTAATAATACAGCTCAAAGTAGATTCATTATCATTCTCTTAATTGAGCCTTGGTGACAGTTAGTTCGTTGCTAATCTTAACTTCCTTTGTGGGCAGGAAGATATACAGCTCATGAAGGATTTGGGAATGGACGCCTATAGGTTTTCCATTTCTTGGACTCGAATTTTTCCTAGTAAGCTTCCATTTTCTACTTGTTCTAATAGGATGAACTGGCAAACACGGGTTGAGGCATATAAGATAACTCAATCAAATCTTAATTAACATGAATTTTAACTGAAAAAATGACGATGATATGCTCTATATTCATAAAATTTTCAAGCCAATCTACTTTAAGTCCCCGTTACAATGATAGTCTTAGCTTTCTATATTTTCTGCGAAAGTACACGATGAAATGTGCTGAAATAATGGAGTTTCAATTGTTAGATGGAACTGGGCAAATCAATCAGGCAGGAGTTGATCATTACAATAAGCTCATCAATGCTTTACTGGCCAAAGGTGAGATGCTCCATGTGCCTGTGCCATTGGCAGAATTTATATAAAGATGCAAGTAGTAGTTCAATGCAAATAGATGTAGTTTTTAATGCTTCTTATTGCATCCATGGTTGATTACAATTTCAGGAATTGAACCATACGTGACCATCTATCACTGGGATCTTCCACAAGCCTTAGAAGACAAGTACAATGGATGGCTTAGCCCTGAAATCATGTAGAGCTTGTTATTTATCTTCTCAGCTTAACTTGGGATTTCACTTTATTCTTATTCTGAAAACAATAACATATGAACGCACCAACATTTTGTATGCTGCAGAAAGGACTTTGCAACTTATGCGGAGACATGTTTTGAGAAATTTGGGGACAGGGTGAAGCACTGGATCACATTCAATGAGCCCCATACATTTACTACGCAAGGATATGATGTTGGTCTCCAAGCTCCAGGACGCTGCTCTATTCTCCTTCACCTATTTTGTAGGGCTGGCAACTCTGCAACTGAACCTTACATTGTTGCTCACAACGTCCTCCGTGCTCACGCAACAGTAGCAGATATTTATAGGAAAAAATACAAGGTAAAGTCATGAACATTAGAAGAATAAAATCAAATAACTTTTATTGAGTCATATTCTTATCATTATCCTTTTAAAGTGTTTGCTTAGGTCATGCCATTATCATTTTCTTTTCAAGGCAAGAACAAAGTGTAGATCTTTATGTTATGTGCTCCTTGCTGTGAAATTATGTTCACCTTATTGAAAGCCATATATACTCAGTGGTTTGTTTATTCTACAGAGTGTACAAGGTGGATCGCTTGGGATAGCATTTGATGTCATTTGGTATGTGCCAGCAACAAACTCCAAAGAAGACATTGAAGCGACTCAACGAGCTCAGGATTTTCAACTTGGCTGGTAAGTGATAGACATGATGGTAGCTTGTAGTCTGTACGTTCCATATTCTTGAAAAGAAGGAAATAAGTGACTGAACCTTAATAATCTGTAACAACAGAAAAGGTTAAACTAATTTTTTTGAAATCCTTGGCGACAGGTTCCTTGATCCTCTGATGTTCGGGGATTATCCAAGCTCAATGAGAAGTAGAGTAGGGAGCAGGCTGCCAAAGTTTACTCAATCTGAGGCTGCCCTTCTCAAGGGCTCATTAGATTTTGTGGGAATCAATCATTACACCACGTTTTATGCAAGAAACAATGCTACTAATTTAATTGGAGACCTACTCCACGACTCCATTGCTGATTCTGGATCCATCACCTTACGTAAGTCTAAGGCTGAAGCTTTATGTCAAGAGACCGTATTACTTTATTGGAGAGTTTCTTCTTTTTCGTTTTCATTTCTACAACCACTAAGTTGCTTGCTGTGTTCTCTTTGTTTTCAGCATTCAATGGAACCAAGACTATTGGAGAAAGGGTAGGTCCTGTAAAGTGAAGTATTTTTTCCTTTATTTAGAACCCTAAAGAGAGAGACCCATCCTTGCCTCTTCACAATTTTCTTTCATTTATAGATATGAGCACTTGGTCAATTCGTCCATGAATTGAATCCCCTTTTAATCATGATAGTAATTTGTGAATTCTGAAATGCAGGCGAATTCTATATGGCTATATATAGTGCCACAAGGAATGAGAAGCTTAATGAATTACATCAAACAAAAGTATGGAAACCCTCCTGTGTTCATCACTGAAAACGGTAATCTTCCAACTCTAAACAAAAACTTGCAGAAACTCCCATATCCCTTCATAGTATCACCATTGCACAACAACTGAGAGCTAAATCTCCCTCTCTTTCTTATGGTTGTCTCAGGGATGGATGATCCAAATAGACCATTCACCTCTATTAAGGATGCACTGAAGGATGAGAAAAGGATTAGATACCACAGTGGCTATTTGTCTAGCTTACAAGCATCTATCGCGTACGTAAAAATGTGTCATTACTTTGTTGATTTGTGTAGCTAATTACTGCAAAATCCATGCTATATATTTATTTAAAGCAATGAATCTGAAGGAGTTTTCTGGCTTTGGTGATATCAGTGAAGATGGGTGCAATGTGAAAGGGTACTTTGTATGGTCACTACTGGATAATTGGGAATGGGCAGCTGGATACACTTCCAGATTTGGTCTGTATTTTGTTGATTATAAAGACAAGCAGAAGAGATACCCCAAACAATCTGTAGAATGGTTCAAGAACTTCTTGAAATCAGCCCACTAACGTTACGTACAGCTAATATATGAGTAAGTGATGGGACTAGAATTTGTCATTGCCCAGAAATAATACATATCATCAGTGTTATATCATATCACAGTTTCAGTTTCATTACTTCTCAGCATCATGCCATCATATTACACAACCTGTAATTTTGAAAACTTCGATTTTACACCCAAGATGTCTAGAGTCCCACCTACTTTTAAATCAGCATAGTTATGCTATGGAATTTGGAATCTCCTTGTTATAAATATATGGCAATATGAAAATTTTAAAACTCGTGTACACGTTATATAACTATGATGCTGGCATGTTATATACCAAAGCATCTCATGTTTTCACCTTGTGACTTAACATACATACATGTGTGTGTCTATATGTGTGTGTGTGTGTGTGTAGATTGCCATTGAATGCCTTTTGTTTTGATCGCAGGCCAGTGAGTATGGATTGTAAGTGCTGTTGAGGAGGAACAGGAGAGATTTATACATATACAGTGAAGATTTATTGTTGATTATTGCAGAGGAAAAAATTTAAGTTTATTTTCAATTAGACGGGATGATGATGTTTAGACAGAATGTAAAATTGTGTCATTGTTTAAAACTAGGCGCTGCTTTTGCAGTTATTGGTATCCATAAATAATATATTGTGGTGATGTTCTTTCAATCATCATTTTTTTTAGCAGAAGATTTCAGAAGTCATCTGCTAGAAGAACTGTTTGAATTGTTATGTAATTTATATAGGCTTTGATAATAATTAAATGGCAAATTACAACAAATTTTTTATAAAATACCTGATTTGTAATTTCATAATTTTCACAGCTTTTTTTTTTAAAACCATTTTCCCATATATTAAACATACATTTGTCACATTGTCATTATCAAGCTCAGGTACCATTATTTGCACCTTAATTTCCCATTCATCCAATACTAATATTTTCTTATTATAACAAATATGTGTTGATTTTTTTAAAATATTATTTCTTTTAACCACTACCTATTTACCCTTATGGATGAAATTCTCCTTTAATATATACAATTGATAAAGATAGTTTAAAAAAATTATAAATTTAAAAGGTAAAGTAGATAGAGATATTCCATTTAGCATTAAAATAAACCTCCTTCAACTTGTTTCTATGTTTAGGATGAGGGAGGGTATTTGCCCCATGAGCTTTGACTCGTTCACCCTACTATGAGCCTCTTTGAAATAACTTAATAGTTTTTCAATCATAATTTACGGAATACGAGGTGATAAGTATATAAGAGATGTTTTATCTCGGCTTACATGAAACGTACTAATAAATGTTTTTAAATGCTTTCACAAACTGGTCTATATAAATTTTACTTCTTTTTTTTAGCTCAAAGTGTGATTACATTCACCATTTACACATGCAATCTAATACTATTATCATATTCATATTACTAAAGTCCAATACTTCATAATATTGCAATCTTAATAGTGACTATTAGATTGAAAAAGCCAACCTCTTCATCATATTAGTCTTACAATTTTCTGTACCGCTTCCTCATATTCTTAATATTAAATTAAATTACAGATTAAATTTTATATTAAGAAAAAAATAATATTAAATATTGCAAATATAACAGCAGAAGAGACAAACTTATTCATCATAAAAATGCGACTCAACCCTTTAAGCAGTGAAATTCTTATCTCAATCCTTCCAAGTTCTTGAAATTACTTGCCTAAACTTTTTTTTTTCGCTTGTATTATATTATATGGGAAAATTTAGTTAGAAGTTCATGTTTGAAAACTTAATTAGCTAAAAAAAGATTTGAATTTGAGTGAATATAATAATCTATGAGTGCAATTTTTTTCCCGCTGCATATAACATATTATCAATGACATGTAACAATCATCAATACAAAAGTCATTTGTATACAGCGGAAGATATATTACACTCATGATTATAGTTACACGCATTTAAATTTAGGTTTTTTTAGCTAATTAAGTTTTCCAACAGGTACTTTTAACCAAATTCTTTTCTATAAATATATATATATATATATGTATGTATGTATGAAAGCATTGTCTTTAAATTTAAGCATGTGGCAATATGAGGTCAAAAGCGGGGTCATGATTTTGCATGTCGTGTGACTCATGAAATGACCTGGTGCCAGCCAACCATGTTGTGGTCCCAATCCGATGCCATTATTAGTTAAATGATTAATTAATTAATTGAGATTAGTTGACTCATACAGTGTGATGAAACATAGCTAACAACGGTTACCATTGGCGTTTAAGGTACATCAATCGGTTGGCTTTTGGGGCCTACAAATTTTTGAAGATCTTCACGCTTCTTTGTTTTCTTTCATTTCCTACAGTTTATATCGTCATCAACCGTCACACAACCACAACATTATAAAACAAAGCTACCAATGAAAAATGGATCATTTATTAAGATAGAGTATTATTTAAATAAAAAAACATTAATTTAAAAATAAATAGAATATTTATGTGACCAACTAGTCGTTGGTTGAAATGATAAGTATTCATACCCTATAAAAAAAGAAAATACAAGTCCAAATTTTGAGAAATACACTTGTTGAAAAGATTTTAATCTTAACATTTATAACCAGACATAAATTAGTTTTAAACCCAGAATGACTTAAAAATAGTTTGAGTTATACAAAAAAATTAAAATAGTAAGTAGTTCCCCCCATAATTTAAGTTTCATATACATATATATTTGAAAAATTGTGTCGGTTGATTTAAAGTCAATAAAAGCGACGATCATGAAGTGATGGCGTGTTGCCCTTAGTAGCAATAATGAAGCTGCCGACAGAAACAAACAAACAAGCAAATAATAACGTGATATGTAATTTCTTTTGGTAGCCTCAAATATTAATTTCACATTTCTTCCATCCCACTCAATTTTCCTTTGAAGGCATATCCTCTTAAATTAAGAAAATTTTAAAAAAGAGAAGAAGAAAAAAACTTGCCTCAAGTGTATCCAACTAACAAAAATATTTAAATGTAATTCATTAATGTCAAGTAATTATATTAATAAAAGGAAACATGCCAAGTATCTATGATATGAAATTCATATAAAGCATAAAAAAGCGAATCATGTAGTACTTGAAAACATCAAGATCTATTCTTTTCTTCATGTGACATCACTCTGTTCATTATCGCATTTTCCGGCCTTTTAAAGACAATATATCTAATATTTAATATAAGAGTTAGTTAACTAATTTAAATAAATTAAAAAAGTTGATTAATTCAGTTATTTATTATAAATAGATCTTATCTTTTTTAAAATATTTTTGCTAATCATGTGTATTAGCTAAAAAAAAAAAATAACTCCACCTATATTGTATAGCTGGTCCCAAGCCCGGATAAAGGAGGAGGGTTGTGTTAGGCCCTCGACAGCCAACGTAAAAACCCGTCGAATCTCATGAACATGGATCAACGAAGTATTTATGCTAATGCTAGGTCGTTGCCTAGAAGTGACGCGTTATATGGCTAGAGTACAGTGAGAAATGAGCTAGAGCCGCTGCATCGTCGCCCGGATGTAGTGTTAAATGAGCGAGGGCTACCGCACTCTCTTAGACGGAGGCGGCTAAAGAAGTTAGTTCATGAGACTGAGATTAGATTTGGCACTTGGAATATTGGGACGTTGAATGAGAAATCTATGGAAGTAGCAGGAGTTATGAGGGACAGAAGGATTAATATCTTATGCCTCTAAGAAACCAAATGGACTAGAGAAGCTGCTAAGGAACTTGGAGAGTATAAACTTTGGTACACAGGAAAGGTGAGCGCAAGGAATGGGGTTGGTATCATCGTTGATGGAACATGGAAAAAAACGTGGTAGAGGTTAAAAGGTTTGAGGACAGAATAATATCATTAAGAGTAATTGTTGGAAAGGATACTATCAATATCATTAGTGCCTATACACCTCAGGTTGGGGCAGAGACACACCTTAAAGATAAGTTTTGGGAAGATATGGAAGGGTTGGTTCAAAGCATACCACTCGAAGAAAATTTTTTTATCGGTGGGGACCTTAATGGACATGTTGGTAAGGAAGCAGGACAATTCAGCGAGGCCCATGGTAGTTTTGGTTTTGGGGAGCTTAATAGTGGAGGACAATCTATTCTCGATTTCTCTCTTGCATACGATCTTAAGATTGTCAACACGTGTTTTAAAAAGCGAGAGGAGCATTTAATCACGTACAAAAGTAGGGTATCAAAATCACAGATTGATTTCTTTTTGGTTAAGAATCCGGACAGAAGATTGTGTATTAATTGCAAAGTGATTCCAGGAGACGGGGTGACTGCCCAACTTAGATTACTTATCGTTGATGTACGTTTTAAGAGTACTAGGTAAAGGTACCATCAAGTGGTAAAACCCAGGATTAAGTGGTGGCAGTTAAACGGTGAAAAGCGGGAGTTATTCAAAAGGACTCTTTTGAAGGAAGGGATTTGGGAGTTGTAGGGAAATGCAAACATGATGTGGAAAGAGATAGTTACAAGGGTTCGTTTGGTAGCTAAAGTAATTTTGGGAGAATCCAAAGGTTCTGGTCAAAGAGATAAGGAGACTTGGTGGTGGAATAAGAGTGTGCAAGAGAAAGTCAAACAGAAAAGAGATTGTTTTAAGGCCATACACTTGTGCAATAGTATAGAAAACCGGGAAAAGTATCAGTTGGCTAAAAAAGAGACAAAGAGAGCAGTGAGCGAAGCACGTACTAAAGCTTATGAAGGGTTTTATCAGGAGTTAGGAACAAAGACGGGAGAAAGAAATATCTACAAGATTGCGAAGCAAAGGGAGAGGAAAAAGAGAGATCTGGACCAAGTAAAATGTATAAAGGACGAAGATGGTAAAGTGTTAGTTACTGATGATGATATTAAGGACAGATGGAAGGCTTACTTTACAAGTTGTTTAATGAGGGAAGCAATTATGCGACTCAGGACTTTCAGGACTTGCTAATTAACGAAGATGATCGGAATTTGGCTTTCTACCGCAGGATACGTATCGGAGAGGTTAAGGCAGCTCTCAAGAAAATGGACAATGAAAAAGCCGTTGGGCCTGATGGTATCCCTATTGAAGTTTGGAAATGTTTGGGTGATGAGGGTGAGGTGTGGCTAACCAAGCTTTTTAATGAAATTCTACGCTCTAAGAATATGCCGGATGATTGGAGGAGAAGCATTTTAGTTCCTATTTACAAGAATAAAGGAGACATTCAAAACTGTGTAAGCTACAAAGGGATAAAACTTATGAGTCATACAATGAAGTTGTGGGAAAAAGTGATAGAATATAGGTTGAGGTTGGAGACTTCTATTTCGGAAAACCAATTTGGATTTATGCCAGGGAGATCCACATCGGAAGCAATTTATTTAATGGAAAGATATAGAAGTAAAAGAAGAGATTTACATATGGTTTTTATTGACCTGGAAAAGGCTTATGATCGTGTGCCAAGAGAAGTATTATGGAAGGCTTTGAAAAAGAAAGGTGTACAGGTTGCTTATATCAAAGCCATACAAGATATGTATGAGGCGGGGTAACTACTAGTGTAAGGACACCTGGGGGGAGACAAAGGACTTTCCTATTAAGATTGGCCTACATCAGGGATCCTCTTTGAGTCCGTACTTGTTCAACATTATTCTGGATGTCTAACTGAACCTGTTCAAGAAAGAATCCCTAAGTCCATGCTTTTCGCGGATGATATAGTTCTCATGGCAGAATCAAAAGAAGAGATTAACACTAGATTGGAGTTATGGAGAAGGACTTTGGAGTCGAAAGGTTTCCGCTTGAGCAGGAACAAAACAGAATATATGCATTGTGATTTTGGAGGGAGGCAAGGCAATAGGGATTTGGAGGTGAAGATGGGGGAGCAAATCATTCCTCAAGTATCAAAGTTTAAATACCTAGGATCCATTATACAGGAGGATGGGGAAATTGATGGAGACATTTCTCATAGAATACAAGCTGGCTGGTTAAAGTGGAGGAAAGCTACCGGAGTTATTTGCGATAAGAAGGTACCTGAGAAACTTAAAGGAAAATTTTATCGAACTGCTATAAGACCAGCTATGATGTATGATAGTGAATGTTGGGCAATAAAGGGAAAACAAGAGCACAAAGTCGGAGTAGCAGAAATGAGGATGTTGAGATGGATGTGTGGTCATACAAGAAAAGATAGGATTCGAAATGAAAAGATCAGGACAAGAGTCGGTGTGGCACCTATCCAAGAGAAAATGGTTGAAAATCGCTTAAGATGGTTTGGACATGTGCAGAGAAAGCCTTTAGAGGCCCCGGTGAGGAGGGTGGATCAAACAAGATGGAGTCCCATAAAAAGGGGCAGAGGAAGACCAAGAAGGACGCTTAATGAGGTCATTGAACGAGACCTCCTAGTCAACAACATATCTAAGGATTGGGTTGTTGACAGAGCATGATGGCGTCGTGTGATTCATGTAGCCGACCCCACCTAGTGGGATAAGGCTTGTTGTTGATGTGTATAGCTAAAATGATAATTTTTTAACTATGCAATTACGTACTACAAGGATTATTGTAAAAATAAATAAATAAATATGAGAGACAAAATAAATGATGTATTATATTTAGGACCAAATCAAATATCAAATTAGTTTTTATACTCCATCGGTTCTTAATATAAAACCCATTTAACTAATTTGATTAGATTAAAGAAGTTAGGTAAGTTAGTTAATTATAAGAAATATGAAAAAAAAATTTTAAAACACCATAATCATCCTCCTTAATATCCTCCCTCCCATCTTCTACTTGATTATAGTGAGGAGTATCCATATGGGTAATTTAAAAAAAATTAATAAATATGAGAAATTTGTTTTATATTTAGGACCAAAATTGACTCAATAATTAAGTTCTATATAAGGACCAGAGGAGTATTAAGTATCTGTTGGAGTATTTATATTTGAATCAAATGACAAGTGACAACCCTTCAACTTTGTTCCTATATTTGGAAAGGGTAGTTATAATTTAACAGCTTGCCAATAAGATTCTTTAGTTTTTGAAATAAAAGCTTAAAGCAACAAATTAATGCTTGACAACACATTTTAAAAAGCACGTGAAAATATGTAGTAAATCTGAACTCACAAAAATGTGAAATAATTAAATAAAACAAAATAGTGTGTGGCAGTTAGTAGTGTACGATCATGGAAGGTAGCAAATGGCAACGAAAACGTGAAGTGCACAATGGCAGTATTGCATTTTTCGCGGGTTCCATGCTAATGCTTTTTATATATATAGAGCTGGTCTTCCTTCTCTCTCGGCACGGAAACCTCCATTGTTCTTCACTTCCTTCTTATTCTGCTGCTTCTTCTTCCAGATCAGATCTACAAATCCACGCCGCTCTGCATTTGAAGGTATTTGTTTTGCACATATTTGATTAACTGGAAAAAAAAAAAATCGATTATCGGTTCTTCTCCTTGCTTCCACTGTTGTTGTTTGGCTTCTCAGTTGAACTACCTGAAATGCTTCCCAACCACTTGTCTTTTCTTCTCTCCTCCTTCATTTGATTTGCGCATTGTTTCAATTTGAAGTGGCTTTTGTTTTTGCCTTGTTTTTATAATCTTAATGATTTGTATATGATAGTTTTTTTTTTTGTTTGTAGAGAAATTTGCTCGCTGATCTCGTAAATTATCGTAGATCCGATAGCTAATGATTTTGTTACCGGAATTTACGCTCTTCAATCTGTCTCTTCTCTTTTTAAAGTCTCTGCGTGCATGAGTGCGTGTAAACAGAAGATGGATGAACTTAAATCATTGTGAATATTACTTCTGACGAACTGTACACAAGCCTTCTTACCATTTTTTCATATTGAAATTTTTGTATATCGGCAGAATGTGTGTCCTCGTTTTTTCTTTTATTAGCTATAAACTCAGGATGATTTATCCCCATTTTTAGTCTTTGAATTGTTATATTTCGATACCTATAATATAATATAATCATGGTGTATCAGGAAATTTGAGTTCCTTGAAATTGACCATTCACTCTTGCAGGCTGCTGAGAAGAAACAAAGATGGTGAAAATTTGTTGCATTGGAGCTGGATATGTGGGTGGACCCACAATGGCTGTGATTGCCTTAAAGTGTCCTGAGATCTCAGTAGCTGTGGTGGATATCGCCACCGCACGAATCAATGCCTGGAACAGTGACCACCTCCCAATCTACGAGCCAGGCCTCGAAGAAGTGGTGAAGAATTGCAGGGGAAAGAATCTTTTCTTTAGCACTGATGTGGAGAAGCATGTTGCAGAGGCTGACATAGTCTTCGTCTCGGTGAACACCCCCACAAAAACTCAAGGACTTGGAGCTGGCAAAGCAGCTGATCTCACCTATTGGGAGAGTGCTGCAAGGATGATCGCTGATGTTTCCAAATCTGACAAAATTGTGGTTGAGAAATCCACTGTTCCTGTGAAAACAGCTGAGGCAATTGAGAAGATCCTGACCCACAATAGGAAAGGCATCAATTTCACGATTCTGTCAAACCCAGAATTTCTTGCTGAGGGTACAGCAATTAAGGACCTACTCAATCCTGATCGAGTACTTATTGGAGGTAGGGAGACCCCAGAAGGTGCTAAGGCTATACAAGCTTTGAAAGATGTTTATGCCCATTGGGTCCCTGTTGACAAAATCCTTTGCACCAACTTATGGTCTGCTGAACTCTCAAAGCTTGCTGCCAATGCTTTTCTGGCACAAAGGATCTCTTCTGTGAATGCCATGTCAGCACTCTGTGAGGCTACTGGAGCTGATGTCACCCAGGTGTCACACGCAATTGGCACAGACTCAAGAATTGGACCCAAGTTCTTGAATTCTAGCGTTGGTTTTGGGGGATCTTGCTTTCAGAAGGACATTTTGAACTTGGTCTATATCTGTGAATGCAATGGCCTTCCCGAGGTTGCAACTTACTGGAAACAAGTGATTAAGGTGAATGACTACCAGAAAACTCGGTTTGTGAACCGAGTGGTTTCCTCCATGTTCAACACTGTATCAGGTAAGAAAATTGCTATTCTGGGCTTCGCTTTCAAGAAGGACACTGGTGATACAAGGGAGACACCTGCCATTGATGTGTGCAAGGGGCTATTGGGAGACAGGGCTCGTTTGAGCATATATGATCCGCAGGTCACTGAGGAGCAAATCTCAAGGGATCTCTCAATGAATAAGTTTGATTGGGACCATCCTGCTCATCTTCAACCAACAAGCCCAACTTCCATTAAGACAGTGTCTGTGGTTTGGGATGCCTACGAGGCAACAAAAGAGGCTCATGCTGTTTGCATTCTGACTGAGTGGGATGAGTTCAAGAAGCTTGATTACCAAAAAGTTTATGACAATATGCAGAAGCCTGCTTTTATATTTGATGGTAGGAGCATTGTGGACGTGGAGAAGCTGAGGAAAATAGGGTTTATAGTTTTCTCCATTGGCAAGCCTCTAGATTCATGGCTCAAGGATATGCCTGCGGCAGCTTAAAATGGGGTTCCAACCAAAATTTGCAGAGGCACTTAGGTTGAATTTGTTGGGGTTTCAGGGGGATTGATTATCACAGTCTGATACATTAAGCTATTCTTTTAAAATAGTTAAATTTCAGTTGCTATTGTGTCTTTTCATTATTTTGATTTGATCAGGCTTTGTGGCTTGGTAGCGCCAATTTGTTTGTTGACCAGGTTTTGATTAAATAAATGAGCTCCCCTATAAATTTTACGCAGTTTCTGCCTTCACATTAAGTAGAATGATTTTTGTTTTTATTCTCTCACTAATTTCCTCCCTCTCATGATGATCGTGCGAATGATAGACAACATATTGGCAAGAAATATTCTTTTTTTTTTTTTGGGGTACCCAAACAGTTATTCTTTCATTGGTGAAGGAAAAAAGAGAGTATTTTACTAGAAAGAAAATGACACAAAATATGATTTACTAGAAATATGAGCATGACTATTTGCGCTACTTCAGTATAAAAAAATCATTGAAAGATAGAAAGAGAATAAAATGAAATAGGCTTTGGGGAGACCTTAAAGAGTTATATCATTTCGTATGAGTTTTTGAAAAAATGACAAAAAAAATACCTGTAAATTTTTAAAATAATAAACAAGTGATTTTGATAGATTTTGAATTGTCAAAATCGTTATAAGAACAGTTATAAGGTCATTATAAGAGTAGTTAATATGATTTATTTATCTTTTTAAAATTTAATAGGTATTTTTGGGTCATTTTTTCTAATTATTTTTATTCAAGCCAACATTATAAATTTAAATACACACTTCAAATATACTTACTTTTAATGAACATACTTCTCAACAATATCACAAGCTACTCTTAGCATGTTTTAAATCTCCTCAACTAGACTTCTCCACCAGTGCATATAACTCACAAACTCCTCAAAAAAGTGTGACTGCGGCAAAGTCATTTTCAAGCACAACAAGCTTCTTTCCCACCTCCCTCATGTGATTATTAAGCTTTGCCTCTAGTTCTGCATGCAATTAGTTTTTTTTTTTTTTTAATAAAAGACGTTAAACATACTGGCTAGTAAAAAAAAAAAAAAACCAATGTTAAATACGAATCTTTATACAACACCTGCTTTTGTGATCTCTCCTTAACTTTTCACTTATTAAATAGTATATGTGCCACTATAAAGTCATTAACTTTTCTTATAATTCATAATACGCAAGTATTGCCAATTGTAATATCAGAAGTGTAACTTAGAATCAAATTAAAAATAAAAAATTAATTTATTTGTAAAATTTTTGAATCGAATTAAAAATAAATATATCAAAAATAAAAAAAAATTGGTCACCTTGAATAAAAAACCTCCGTAGTGGCCGAACAAATCGAAAACCTTTGTCATGATGGAATCAATTATTGAAATAAAACTGGGCCGGTTTTGCCCATAAGAGCCCAATTCTAATTCAGGCGGGTCATCGCTCCTCCCACAACCCGTTTTTTTTTTATTCTGACCATCTCGTGTACAAAAAGCACGAGCCGTATCTCGACCTTCATCGCCTACCTCGTTCGATCTTATTCTCTTCGATATTTGATTCGCTTCTAATTAGTGCTGCCAATCCTTGAATCGGACCACGTTTTCGTTTGATTCTCGTTCTCCTCTTTCGTTTGATCCCAAACACGACTCCTTTTGTGATCTTTACCACATTCTAGGTTTAGGGTTTCGATTAGGTTCTCAAAGACTCTGTAATCGTCTAATCTCTTGTACGATTGGTACATATTTGTTTGTTTCGATTTGCGTTCATCATATATCTCGTTCG